AAATAATTTTATGGTTGGGGGGTCACCACAACACAAACTGTATTAAAGGGTTGCGGCATTAGGAAGGTTGGGAACCACTGTTTTAAAGTAATTTGATTACAATTTTTGATTAGGTTGATATTCAGTTACAGACATGCCTCTACCCTCAAACATTTGTTACCAATTCTGGAGCCAACAGTCCCTTCCAGGTACTCTCTATTTCTCTACTGGGTTTGATTATTTGTTACAGTGGCCACATAGAGCTCTCAGATCATATTCATAATTATGAGGTTTACTAGAAAAGCAAAAAGTTACATGTCAGGATCATGTAACTCTAGCAACTCTAGATACAGTTCTTAGATCAGGACAGCCCCTTCTCATCTATGGAGTCACACGAGTCTCTATCCCTTGGTCCCTAGGTCTGGCCTCTGTCCTGCTGGGGCAAGTATTACAAAGTTCTTTTAGCTCTGCTAATTAGTGGTTATGCTTTGGGCTGCTAACTGAAAGATTAGGCAAGTTTTTTGGTGTTTTTGTTTGTTTGTTAAATTAAGTTCCCAGAGACACTCCACTCCACGAGCAAGTCCTGGCCTGAAGGCACTCGGCTCTAGCTCCATAGGTCGGTAAACCTAACTCCCCGGAAAGTTGCTCAGAGGCATCTGACTCTGCCAGCAAGCCTCCTGCCCGAAGGCACTCAGTTTTCTCACAACGTGGGTGGGGTTGAGGAGCAGCCCAAGCTTTGTCTTATACTGGTCTCTTGATCCATTGCTGCCACTTCTCTGCCATTTTTACCATCTCCATTATCACAGATCTCTGTGTCTTGGATTAAAAGGATTGTGTGCAGAAATCTCAGGTCCAAAAAAAAAAAAATCATCAATCTGGGCTCTTCTTTCTTGATGACCATGAGATCCCCCTTTCCACTTCTGGGAGGGCTTATGTAAGCCAAGTTGGATGGCATAATGGACCAGTCCCCACATTAGGTTTGCAAAGGGTGCTGTGCACCTTATTTACATTTGTGAGCTATCCATTACCCCTCGGAGAGCCACAAGCACCTCACATTTGTGTAGCCAGTTATTTGGTGCGAGTTACAAAGACTGTTTTGAAGGGCCATATAAAATAATTTTCTGCACTATAACTTGGCATTCATTTTGGTTGTTTCTTTTCAGTTGTCTTAATGCCTTTTATGAAACAACATGTATATGCCCAGCTATTTGAAGATCCTCACTTGTACTTATTTGACTATTTCTTAACTTCATGGACTTCTGCTCTTGACCCTTACCTTCTGCAGTGGTGCGACACTTGTTAATCCCTGACCTCTTAATAGTTAGTTGTTGTTTTTTAAATTGTGTTTTATGGACAAATTTACATAGCAAATTAGGTTTCTCTTTAACAGTTTTTGTTTTTTAACATTTTATTAGGGGCTCATACAACTGTTATCCCAATCCATACACACATCAATTGTGTAAAGCGCATTTGTACATCGTTTCTCAAAACATTTTCTCTCCATTTAAACCCCCGACATTAGGTCCTCATTTTTCCCCTCCCTCCCCACTCCCCCCTCCCGCATGAGCCCTTGATAGTTTATAAATGGGTATTTTGTCATATCTTGCCCTGTCTGACGTCTCCCTTCATCCACTTTTTGGTTGTCTGTCCCCCAGGGAGGAGGTCACACACAGTTCCATGTAATCGGTTCCCTCTTTCCTACCCATTCTCCCTTTACCCTCCCTGTTTCGCCACTCACACCACTGTCTTTAACAGTTTGTATACAGATTTTTCTCTGCTATTGGTTACAATGTTTGCAATGGGTCAGTATTCTCCTTTCCATTCTGTTTGTTCCATTTTCATTGATCTAGCTTCCCTTCTTCTCCTTGCCTTCCGTTGCTTTGGGATAGAAGTTGGTGATTTCGCTGTATATAATGTCCGTAGATAGCTCATTGTTTATGGGAGCATATGACTCATAGATGTCTTCTGCAGAGTCTGTAGAGATTCCACATTCAAAGGGTATCTGTGGATCACAAGGGTTCTTCTAGTAGAATGTTCCATCTGGTATGTTTGACCTTTTTTAGGAATTTGAGTTTTGTCATACATTTTTCTTCCTTTCTATCTAAGACCTTCTATTTCATGCTTGGCCTCAACAGTGGGTAGTGGGAGCCAGACACCATCTAGTTCTTATGGTCTCAGGTTCGAAGAGGCTGTGGTTCCTAAGGGCTATTAGTCCCATAGATTAGCCTTTTCAGTGAGCCTTTGATTTCCTTCATTCAGAGACCAGTGATTGTATCACAGATGGCTGCTCTCAATCTTCTAAGACCCCAGGCACTACTCACCAAACATTGTCTTGGTGAACTATGTTATGTTAGTTGACTGCATTGCCCGCTTTTAACCCGAAAATGATCCTGAGAGTTGTTTGCCTATGCCTAGGCAATCTCAGTGACTGCGCCCCTTATATGGTTTGTGGTATATGTAATATATAAGGGAGCTTCTAAAAGTTTGTAGAAAAAATGGGATTAAAAGACAATGGAATTTTCCCAGAACTTCTTGAAGCCCCTCTGTATTAGTCTGGATACTTAGGAGAAACAAATGCACAGCAACTCATAGATAAGAGAGAGTTTTATGCAAAGAAAATGTGCATCACGAAAACACCCCAACCCAATGCTGCCCAAGCCCACAAGTCCAACATTAACCCATTAACCCAACACCAGTCCACAAAGCCCTTCACCTCACAAAACAGAGGCAATAATGCCGACTGCAGGAGGAAAGCTGAGTCAGTGAACGTGTAAGCATCTCAGCACTGGCAGGGGTCTCCACATGGCTGCTCCAGCACCCAGGGCTGCATCGGGATAGATCCATGCGGCTTCTCCTTGGGGATGTCTTGTAGGAAATCCATCTTGCAAGCTGAAGCAGGGAACTGCTAAAGCAGCTGCACCCGATGCAACCATCACAAAACAAGAGACCCGAGAACTAGAAAGGCCGAGGCTCACCACCCATTTATCCCTCCGCCTTTCAACCAGCACCACATGTGATTATTGGCCAGGCTGGCACAATTAACTAACTCACCCTCCCTCATATATGCAGCACATATACACATGGATGTACATATGCCTATAGACACCTCAGAAATGTGCGTGCATTTACTCACACATGCCTTTCTGTACACGTTTTTTGTCTGTGTTTTTATAGTTGTCAATGGTATGTGTCAAACCTAGGGCTTGAAGATTGCAGTCTCTGAGGTCTTCTCTTTGTTCTTTTGGTAAGGTGCATCAAGTCATCGTGGTAATGATATACAGAACCCTAGACTATTAAGAGGAAGGGACTTTGGAGTTCACCCCGTTTTAACCTTTCAGCTGCTTGGCACTTAGAACCCTGAAAAGACCAGACGTAGTTAGTTCCAAGCCCCAGCCTGTTTCCAAAGCAGGTGTTCTTCAAAGCACTGGTCTAGCAACTGCCCTCCTCCTGCCTGCTGTCTCTTGTTCCCACCACCCTGGACTGCAGTAGTAACAACGGAGAGGCCTAGTGGTTCTTTGGAGGCATGTACATAGTCAGTGATCAAAATAGTAAGGAAAAGATGATCTCGGCACCATTTTCCTAATTTTAAAAAGGTAGTCATCTGTGTTCATAGGAATCAATGAATGGTCTGTATGTATAGCAGGGGTAGGCAAGCGTTTTCTGTAAAGGGCCAGATAGTAGATACTTTTTGCCTTGCAGGCCACCTCTTCTGTACTCAGTTCCTCAGTTCTGCCCTTGTGGGGGAAGCAGCCACAGACAATGTGCAACGAATGGCCAGGACTATGTTCCAGAAACAGTTCATGCACAAAAACATGGAGGGATAGACTTGGCACTTGGACCTCAGTTTGCTGACCCCATATCTGGACCCACAGGTTGACGCTTGGTGGGTCGAATGGTCCACAGCTACAGGGCAAGAAGCAAGCACTGTACAAAATTTTAGTGTGAAGGAATTCTGCACTGGTTCACAAAGATGATACAGCGTACACTCCTGCCACCTGCGAGCGGGGCTCCCAGAACAAAGCCGCTGGTCTGTGCTGCCCTGCTTCTTAAGCTTCCGGCTCCGGATGGAAGGGGTTGCCCACAGTGGCCGGCAGGTTTCAGAAAGTTGTGCTGGCCCCCTAGGAGCCCTCACAGTGGGTTCTGCAGCCACAGGCCTGCCTGGGGCTCCGGTTGACAGCACCGTCTCTCTGGGCCTTGCTAGTCAGGGGCTGGCTCTTCTCAAGGGACATATCGTATCAGCAGGACAGTGCTGTGAATCAGTGTTCCCTGACCCCTGCGCCCCGATTTGAGGTGCTCTTTTCTTCCCACACAAGAATTTACAGTGATCAGGGCCCTATCCTCTGTCCCCCCTGTGGACATGAGTGAGTATACTTCGAAACTGCATAACTGTGCTGCCACAGTTGCTTCACTTGGTGACCAGCCTCCTGGAGAGGAGAGCAGCCCTCTTTTAGAAGGTACTGGCCTCACAGCATTAGAGCGACAGAATTCTGTAATTGAAGGTTTTGTCCTGTTCAGTACAGGGAGGGCCCCGGTGGGTTTCATTGATTTAATCGCAGGCAAACCGTTCCTTTTATATGGCACTCTTAATATGGCAGCTTTACAAACTTTCTTAAGCTCTTTGTTTTCAGTGTTGCCTCAGTTTCAAGGAGGCATGGAGTGAGGTATAGGTTTTTGTTCCCAGCGTTCTTTTTGGACATCCGCCTTCCCCCCTTGCTGTCGAGTGCTCGCAGAGCACCTGGCTCATCATGACCTCCCTGCTTGAGCAAGGGAGAGTGCCAGCCTGGAACAGCTGCCTCCTGCTTCGGGTTTTCTAGCCACTTTACGCTGGACTGTTTACGCTCGATATCTGCTGTCTTGAATTTGGTGTGGGCCTTTGCTAGCATTGAGCTGATCTGAGGGAACAGCAGGGTAGTGTTACTCCGTTTCTGATAATGTGTGCATTTGGGTGTTGTGATAGGTAGAAGACACACACTCATTCTTCATCTACCCTTTTTTCAGTATCTGGCACCAATTTTCGCCCAGTCATTTGTGACCCATGGCTCTTGTGACATGCTGAAGACTTCCAGGCATTTTCTGTGGAGCACCTCCCTGCCCAGCTCTAATCAGGTACCAGACAGACAAGAAATTGCTTGGTCGGCCCTGCGAGGACTGTGCTCTGACTGCCAGAAAGATTGGCACTGACGCCTGAATGGCAGCCATTATGAAGCTGTTGAGACCTGTAGGATGTCAAGTATTTTGCGGCCCTTTTGCCTACAATGTAGCCCAAAGTATGGCTTATTGGAACTTAGGAAGTGGCACGCTACCTGGGGCACAGAACCTGGCTAAACACGTTGAGAGCATTCATAGCGCACCCTCTTCTCAGAGGTGCCTGGCAACCAGCAGAACCCTCCTGGGTTTGGAATTCAACAAGACGAAAGTCGGCCTGTTGCCACCAGACTCACCTAGCGCCCTGAGAGTTGGCAAGGACGTGAAAGTCTATGATTCTTTCAAAGTCCCCCGCACTTTCCTGCAGCTGAGACCAGAGTACCAGCTTCACAGCTATCACCGATCTGAAAGTGGGCAGCCCCTCTCAGTTTCTGAAGGTGAACTGATTTTGCACGAAATCACAGTCTACCGAAATCATCTCCAACCCCAAGTCCTGGCTGATTATTTCCGCAGGCTGAGCTCTTTGCCTGCAGAGCAGCATCCGGTTTTGCTGTCCAGTCCTAGCTTTGCTCTGCTCTGCCAGCTGAGTGTGAAGAACATACAGCTCTTTGATACCCCAGATCTGATGAGTATTTTGAAAGCCTTTGTCACTGTCAGAGTCCCTCCTTCCCATCCAATGCTAGATGTGTATGAGACCCAGTTTTGCCATCAGGTGTGGGAAATGAGCCTGGACCAGCTTCTCTTGGTGGCTGACCTCTGGCGGAACTTGGGCCACAGAGTGCCTCGGTTCTTTAAAATCTTTTTCAGTTACCTTAATTTTCACTGGAAGGATCTCTCCTTGCCGCAACTCATTCACTTAATATACATCATAGGTGAAAATCGGCAGGCCCCCCAGGACCTCATGCAAAAACTGGAGTCCCTGATCCTCAAGTACATAGATTTGATCAATTTAGAGGAGCTTGGCACAATCTGCTTGGGGTTCTTTAAATCAAGTAGCAGTCTCTCGGAATTTGTCATGAGGAAAATGGGAGACTTGGCTTGTGCCGAAATGCAGCGCCTGAGTAGCCCCGCCTTAGTGAACATCCTGAAAATGTTCCGCTTTACCCATGTAGATCACACCGATTTCATGAAACAGTTTGGACAGATTGCCCCACAGCGCATCCCTTCCATGAGCGTTCAGGGTGCCATGCATCTGACGCTTGCCTGTTCGGCCTTGCGTTTCCTGGATGAAGGGGTAATGAACACCGTGGCAGCCACGTTGCCGCCTAAGGTAGCACACTGTCGAAGTAAGGATGTGGCAAAGATCTTGTGGTCGTTTGGAACTCTGAATTACAAACCCCCCAACACAGCCGAATTTTATTCCTGCCTGATCAGTGAAATTCACAGAAAGCGGTCCGAGTTTTACCAGTACCCAGAACACCTGTTCACCTGCTTGCTGGGCCTGGCGTTTTCCGAGTACTTTCCAGTGGAGCTCATCGATTTTGCTCTGAGTCCAGGGTTTGTGAGGTTAGCTCAGGAGAGAAGTAAATTTGAACTCATGAAGGAGCTCTGCACTCTCGATGGCACAGTGGGCATCGAGTGTCCAGACTACAGAGGCAACCGTCTTGATGCTCACCTTCGGCAAGAGGGGTCTGAAATGCTGTGGAATTTAGCCAGGAAGGACATGTGCGCTAAGCCGGAGTTCCTAGAAGCTCTCTTTGTACTTGAGACCCTGCTGGGCGGGCCCCAGTACATTAAGCACCATATGATTTTGCCTCATACCCGATCTTCAGACCTGGAGGTCCAGCTTGATGTAAACATGAAGCCCTTGCCATTCAACAGCGAAGCTACATCAACTCCAGACGTAGCCAAATTGCAGCTTAAGCATGTGGGAATCACCCTTACAGACAATCTGATGGAGCAGTTACTACAAGGGAAGTCAAGGAAGCATACCCAGGGGCAAATGGCATCCAAGACTGGGCAGCAGCGCATGGAGTTTGAGAAGAGGGCAGCCAGCCCTTTGGAGGGCTCTCTCTGCAGTGCGACAGACAGGTTGGGGACCACGGAGATGGCGGAACTGTGCCCCCAAGCCCACCTGCAGACCTTGGGAGTGAAGCTGGCTATTCAGTTGACAAATAAGAACCAGTATTGCTATGGCTCCAGGCATCTGCTTGGATTGCACAACATGAAGAGGCGGCAGCTGGTTCGGCTTGGATATCGTGTAGTAGAGCTAGCCCCCTGGGAATGGCTCCCACTATTGAAACGAACTCGCTCTGAAAAGCTGGCATTCCTCCACGAGAAAGTATTCACCTCTGCGCTCTGAAGGGCCCTCAGAGGCGTGCTTGCTTGTACTTACACTGTACTAAGTGGTGAAGCATGTATAAAAGCCAAACTGTGGGCTTGGGGAGCCAGGGATCTGTTGTAGGCACCGAGTTGAGCCCCTGTCTATGTCAGATTGGAAGTAAGCTATACAACTGAAAGTTGTAACCTGATCTGACGGTACAAGTTGCTAAGTTGTGCTCATCACTCTTAGGTAAATAATAAAGATCTTATCGTATGATCAAGTAAGTCTTACTGTATTTTTCTGTTTAAAGTTATTGCTACTCCCCTCCTCCCACTTTTTAGATTGTGAAAATTTTAATCGTGGGGGGCTTCACAATTTTTGTAGAAAAATCCTGTTATCTTTTAATTTAATTTTTCCATGAATTTGTTTGAAGCCCGTCAGATAACAAAACATCTGCCCTCTCAATATTTATTCCATGTGCAGTTCAGTATAATTCATGATTTTTCATCATGTCTTGAAACTATCGTATTTCTCAAACTTGAGTAGATTTGGTTGGTTTTTACTTTAGTTTGCTGGTTCTCCCACTTTAAAGAACTATGTCAGAATTAGAGAGTCCGCCACACCAGACTAACCGCCTCATCTTGTTAGAGTTAGCAAGCCAACTGTCTTCACCTTTACTTCCTCTCCTCCATTTCTACTCCGGCATAAACTGTTTTCCCCCCATTAGAATATTTTCCCCACCTGCTGCTTCTCTCTCTCTCTCTCTCTCTCTCTCTCTCTCTCTTTCCCTGCTATGGAGTCGGTGCTCCCTCATAGGGACCTGACCCCCTGTGGGTTTCTGAGACGCTCCCTATTCATGGAGCAGCTGTTAGTTTTGAACTGCTAGCCATGCAAACCGCAGGCCAACTAGTAACCAGGGTTCCACCTGTTATTAGCTGCCCCCAACCCATTCAGACTCATGGCGGCCCCAGGTGTGCAAAGCAGAACTCCCAGGACCTGTGTTCCAAAGTGCTCTTGTGGGTTTGAAACTCCGCCCTTTGGGTTAGTAGTCTAGTGCTTAGCTGTGTGTGTCCAGGGACTCTTTAAATTGACCCTAAGAGAGGAGAATTATCAGAGTGCCATTGAGTTCAGACCAAAACATTGCCATCAAGCTGATGCCTCGTCCCAACAACCCTGCAAGACACAGGGTCTCCACGGCTGCAACGTCTCACAGCAGACTGTCACGTCCTGCCGAGTGGCTGGTGGTTGGAACGATTAGCCTCATATTTACTTATTTTAGCCTTTTAGTAGCTAACTGCACCATTGGGACTAAGCCAGGAGGTACAAAATCTAGTGATTAGACAGAATCTTATATTGCAGCTGCTCAAAGGAAACATGTTATTTCTCAAGTCTGAGAAATACTGATTGAAGTATATTTAAAATTTCTTTTTAAACTTAATTTTCAATAGGGAATACAATCACATGATTCGTCTAAAGATAATCAATGAAAAGTTTTCCTGCTTTTCTGCCTCCTAGCCCCTGCCTGGAGATAGCTTGTGTTATCAGTTACGTGCATCTTCTTCCAGAGGCCTATCTGAGGAAATAGTAAACATACATATACATGGTTTTTATATACTTATTATATATGAAAACTAGTATTTCTAGTCTCCGAAGTAGCTCTCAGCAGGGGCCATTTAGAAAGGGGTAGGGATAGTACAAATCTGTCTTGGAGGAAGTATAGCCAGGGTGCTCCTATGAAGCAAGACTGGGAGACTCAATTCATGCACTTTGGACACCTTACCTGGTCAGGAGAGACCCAGTCCCTAGAGAAGGACATCATGCTTGGTAAAGTAGAGGGTCAACAAAAGAGAGGAAGCCCCTTGAGGAGATGGATTGACACAGCGGCTGCAATAATGGGCTTAGAAATAAGAATTCAGGTGGCACAGTACCAGGTAGTGTTTGATTTTGCAGTACATCGGGTCCTATGAGTCAAAACACGACTAGGGCTAGTCCCCTGCAAGAAAAAATTAATCACAAGGGAAATGTCTATAGGAATGCCATCTGTTGAGAAATATTGTATCTGGTGCTTTACGGATGTGCAGGTTATTGAGTTGCGTATGTTCAGTGTGCTGAAATGGACTGGTAATGGCCATTTGAACTGGACAAACATGGTTTGTGCTAAGACAAGTTGAAGGAGGAATTCATCAAAAACACCATTTTTTTTCTTCTGACATACACCTCTGTTGGTGATAGGATAATACATAGAAGCCCATAAGAAAGACGAATTAAAAGAACCACTATGCACATTTTGCAGCAACCCGTAATGCCAAAAATGAAGAAATTGAAGATTTTTAAACCAACTTCTGCAGTCTGATATCAAATATACAATAAAATGCACTGATAATTACTGGGGAATGGAATTTGAAAGTTAGAAATAAGGATTGGTAGCTGGAAAATATGGCCTTGGTGATAGAAATAACACAGGAAAGCACATGATAAAATAGGATAAGACCAATGACTTACACATTGAAAATAGCTTTTCTTAACAGCATAAACGGCAACTGTATACCTCACCAGATAGAATATACTGGAATGCACAGGATTCACTATGGAAAAAGACGATGGAGAAAATAAATATCCGTCATAACAAGGCCACATGCTGGCTGTGAAACAATATCAGTTGCTTATGTGTAAGTTCGGGTTGAAGCTGAATAAAAATCTCAAGAATAGATTGGATGTATTGAACACTGACTAAAGACCAAAATGAGTCGAGGGAATGACATCATACACGAAGAAAGCAAAAGGTCATTAAAAAGGTAGGAAAGAAAAGACTACAATGGATGTCAGGAGAGACTCTGAAACTTCCTCTAGAACAGCGGTTCTCAACCTGTGGGTCTCGACCTCTTTGGGGGTCCAATGACCCTTTCACAGGGGTTGCTTAAGACCATCAGAAAACATTTCCGATGGGCTTAGGAACCGAGACACAGCTCTTCTGTCCATCTCTAGGCGTGTCTGCCCACACACAGATCCTCCCACATATGAGTACCTGGCGTGATGACATCATTGTGCCAACCCCATCACATACACCCCGTACAAATACAGGTGTATGTGACAGGGCTGGCACCATAATGTACTTAGGCGGACCAGTCAAATGTGTAAAGAGCAGCTGCTGTGTTGAAAACAGCAGTATTGGAGGTGAAATGACACTTCATGAATTATAATTACAAATTGTTTTGTGATTAATCGCTATGCTTTAATTATGTTCAACTTGTAACAATGAAAATACATCCTGCATATCAGATATTTACATTATGATTCATAACAGTTAAGAAGTTACACATGATAAAATAGTATAAGCAAAATTACAGTTATGAAGTAGCAATGAAAATGATGCTATGGTTGGGGTTCACCACCACACGAGGAACTGCATTAAAGGGCCGCAGCATTAGGAAGGTTACCACTGGCTAGTGGCTGAAACAGTGTGCTCAAACAGCCCCGTTAGTGAGGTTGACGCAGGACCAGGCAACTTTCATTGTTTGAGTTGGAATGTAACAACAGAAACATATTAATTTTGTTCACAGCCACTTGACTGAATTTTTCTATTAATTTTTCAGTTAATTCTCTCGGGCTTTTTAAGTATGTAATCTTCATTTGAAAATAATTTTACTGCCTCTAATTTTTATATTTCTAATGTTATCTAAATGTGTTGTTTAGCACTTTAACATTGAATGTTTAATTTCTAATGTTTTTGTGGCACTTGTGAGATGAGTATATTTTTACTTTGTAACTATAATATTTGAAGAATATCCTAGGAACCTTTTAAAAACTGAAACACCTTCACATCTTTGGGTTAAATCTGACTTGGTCGTGGTTTTTTAAAAAGATTGTCAAATCCCACTCCTGAAAATTAGGTAGTGTGGACTCTATTGCAAAGAGAATCTAAACACTTCTCAGGTGATTTTGGTAATCAGCCAGTTTAGGACTACAGTTACCTGTGTCTTGGGCTGTGTGATACAAATCTTCTCTTCTTTCCCACCATCCCTTGGCCAGCTACCCTGCCTCTGATAAGCCCTTTCTTGCACCTCTTTTATCTCCAACAGCCTTCTCCAGCCAGCCTTTGTTTCCCCTCCAACGCTCAAGATAAGAGTAGTCCAGACTGGGTCACCTTTGCTTTCAGCCCTTCCCAATGGCCCTGCTCAGAGCAACCCTGATGGTCATGGTCCCAAGATCTCGTGTGCAGTTCCACCCCTCTTTCTGTCAGGTGGCTTCAAACGGTCCCATCTTTCGCTGGTGGGAGCCCTTCAGGTTGACTCCTCGGTCCTGTAGACATGACTTCCTATTATGTTAGTGGTCTTTCATAGCTTCCTTCCTGAGGTGACAAGATGTTCCAAGGTCATTTTATACTGTTTCTGCTCCCGACTTGGAGTCGGCTGTTTCTCCAAGATACCGATTCCTTGTCGTACGAACCCATCTAACTTTATTTCTTCTCTGTCCTCACCCTTACACTCCATCTCGTCCATTCACTCTCTCCTGCATAGACTCCCTCCACCGCCAACTTTGGGACTTGTCCTTTTTTAAACCAAACCAAACCTACATAGAATGCTTGTCCTTTTGTGTTTTCAGAAAAATTCTTGCTCTCCTACTTTCCATCTTAGACAGACAGGACTAATTATCCAAGTGGATTATTGCGGGGGAAAATCTTTTCTGTGGTAAGACCACAAGGCATCAGTCCCTATCTAAATAAGCTCTTTTACACCTCAAACCCCAAACTCTTCTATTTAAACTGATAGCAATCATGTAGGACAGAGTACAATTACTTCAGTGGGCTTCTGAGACTATCAGTCTTTACCAGAGCAAATAGCCTTATCTTTCTCCTAAGGAGCAGCTGTAGGGTTTGAACTCCCAACCTTGAGGCTAGTAGCCCAGCACTTAACCCATTATGCCACAAGGACTCCTTTCTTAACACCTGTATGTAGTTTAAAGAGGGATTGAATTATCCTGTGGGACAGTAGGTTTGAGAACCGTCTCCATGCCTACAGATCAGGTACTTGAGCAAGATTTTGAAGAAAAGTTTGATGTTAAAAGAATATGAGCCTTGGTGGAGCGATGGGTTGGGTGTTGGAGTACTAACTGCAAGGTCAAACCCACCAATTACTCCTCAGGAGAAAGACGAGGCTGTCTGCTCCTGTCTATTCACAGTCTCAGAAAACCTGTACAGTGTTGTATGAGTTGGAATCAACTTGATAGTAGGATTTAAAAAAAAAATTTTTAGGGACAGTCTAGGCAGATGACCTAGTGTCT